CGGTTGTCTTTGCAGGACATGGATCATGGGAGAGCCTGGGGCTACCTGACCTTCAGAGGTAAAACCGTCTTGGTGCCTACACGCGAGGTCTGGAGAGAGCAGCTGCGGGCGGGCCCGGAGAATAACTTGGGGGTGGGGGGACAACTGCGGGAAAACCGCAGCCTTCCTGCTTGGGAAATTTGTTTTTCTCAAATCTGGTAGTGAGAAAAGAAGTTCTCCGTGTTTTAGTTTCAAATGCTGGGGTCTAGCCCCCACAGAATACATTTCTAGGGAACGCTGTGGGAGAGCCAGCGTAGGCTGACCATGCAGGAAGGCAGCGTGCTAGTGGGGTTAGATGAGGCGACACACTGATTTGAGACTTCAAGATACGGAATGAACACGTGAGGGTATTCCAGGTAAAATCGTCAGTAAAACAGGGTGATGGCAAGTAAACCTGTGTTACTGGGATTTTAAATTACCTTTTAGAATTGAGTGAGTGAATTTCCCTTTTTAAAGCTGCTTTATATTAGGCATTTGTCGCCTACTAGAGTTTCTGAAACATTTCTTATTCAAAGGTTTTAAAGTTGTTGTGTGTTTTTAACATTAAATTTCCCAGGGGACTTTCATCAGTGTAGGGAGAAGTTACTCTTGTTCCTTAGCCATGGAAACTGAGCCAGAAAGAGATGAAGTGATGTTTTAAATTGAGAGGGAGTGAAGCACAGAATTGGAATGACTTGCCTGTAGTCCTTTCAGCTTGTTTCCATTTTGATTTCCAAGGACAGAAGTGGGATCCCGTAGTATAGCAGGGAAGATACTGTCCGAAACTTTGACAACTTCCTTTGCTATTGCCTGTTGTAGCATTTTTGAAGCTGGAGAGTCAATACTGACCAGAGAGTCAGTTGCTGCCTTTCCTGGAGGGAGTTTGTTGTAGATAGCGTTGTCCACTGGTGTTCATCGTTTTTTCTTAGGCAAGACCGAAGAAGAAGTGAGAGAGATCGACAAAGTCATGTACCATGACTGGCGTATGGTCCCCAAGCATGAGGAAGAGACCTTCAAGAAATTCACCCCAGTGCCAGAGGAGACCATTCGGTACCTTCCGTATCCACCTCTGCTCCGAGCCATGATCCTTGCACAGTGGCAGAAAGAGGGAAAACCAATCACAGAGGAGCCAATGATTGATCTGGAGAAGGTCAGGGCCTCTCCCCTTCAGGGTGCAAAGAAAAAAGCTTCAGGGACACCAGTATAAAGACTTGTTCCATGTCCTGAGCTTCCCATGTGCTCTCAACATGTGTTAGAAGCACGTCACCTTACAGTAGACCCCT